CTCCTACAAAGACAAATTCATAGATAATTGAGAGAGAGAGAGGTGACCAATGTTGAGACGAATTAGAGAAGAGAAAGGGTGGTCTTTCATCATTTGCTTTTTGCTGTGGAACTTGCTAGAGATAGAGAGACAGAGAATTTAGAGATGGGTAGTTTTGAGAAAGGGAAGGTTTTCAGGCAGAGGTGATGAAGACAGGCAGACAGATACACAGGTTTTTTTTTTTTTTTTACTTTTTGGGAATTAAAAAATTAATGAAAGGTGAATAGGATAAGATGGGAGATTTTGATGACAAAATAATGCATTATTAAAACCATGATTATAAGAAATCAATTGGTAATTGATACTTGACTTGTTCTGTGTTGAGCATTGTAATAGTGATAGATGTTTGTTCAGCCGTTAAGGTATTATTATATTTTTATAAAAATAAAAATAAAAATTTAATTTTTAAAATATATATTTATTAAAAAACAATTTTAAATCCTGAACGAAACTAATTTTATTTTTTTAAAAAGAATATAAAAATGTCTAAATAAAACTAAAAATTAAAAGTAAGATAATAGTATGGTTTAAAATATTTTTTATTTAGAAATGTATTAAAATAAAAAAAAATTATTTTTAAAAATTTATTTTTAACATCAGTATATTAAAACGATCTAAAAATAAAAAAATTATTTTAAATAAAAAAATTTCAAAATTTAAAGAAATATAACTTATACCATGTTTTCAAACATACCCTTTTTAATGAACAAGTTATTGTGCAAGCTTAAAATAATAAATAACTAAAATGTGGATTATCATAAATTTGGTCAAATGATTACTTAATAAACTAATTTTATTTTTTAAAAAAGAATATAAAAATGTCTAAATAAAACTAAAAATTAAAAGTAAGATAATAGTATGGTTTAAAATATTTTTTATTTAGAAATGTACTAAAATAAAAAAAAATTATTTTCAAAAATTTATTTTTAACATCAGTATATTAAAACGATCTAAAAATAAAAAAATTATTTTGACATATTTTAAAAAATAAATATTTACAACCATATTTTCAAATAGATTCTAAATCACTCCAATATAAATTGAAGTTAATATTTTTCTATAAAAAAATATCCTTATTTTAAAAAATATGTACATTAATATCAACTCAAAATAAAAAAAAATAACTATATTTTTTAAAGAACTCAAAATTAAAAAGGAATGGATTATCATAAATTTGGTCAAATGATTACTTAATAAAATTTTATATTTTTCAGATATTAATTGATTGATTCTAATAACAGTGGAGCAGAATCTGATCCCTCCTTTTTTATATATTTGAATAATTATCAGTTTCAATCATTAATTTTATTTATTTATTTAATCATCCATGTAGTTCTATACCTTATAAAATAGTTTCCTTTTTTATGGAGCACAAAAACATACGACTTGATCCTGAAGTTTATGGTATCTATATTTTTTTAGGGTTTAATATTTTGATTTTAAATTTTATTTAATTTATATTTTAGTTTTTAAAATTTTCAAAAACCGAGAGTATCATTGGAAAATAAAAGAAAAGATAAATAGTCAATTAGTCATTTTGGCTACCAAAAAAGCCAACGAGAGAGAGGTTCAATGAAGTTGATATTCTCCTACGAACATGTCTTAAAAAATACACCAAGACTCAGAGTTTCTTTTATCCGGTTGAGTTTTGATTTAGAGTGATTATATGCTTTTTAGGGATTTGAAATGAGTTTATTACGGGCAATTAAATAAATTGAGAAACTGGTTAAATTAAAAAAATAATAAAAAAAATAATAAAAAAAATTAAATTTTAAAAAAAATCGATTAAATCAATTAAAATTTTGAAAAAACTAACTAATTTAGTTTGATTTTAGTTTTATAAGACTGGATAAAAAAAAACCAAATCAAACCAAACCAAACTAAAACTGAAAAATGAATAAAAATTAAGCTAAACCTGAAAAAACCGAGTCAAATCAAAAAATCAAGCCATATAGGAAAAACTAAAAAAATCAAGCTAAATCAATTTGAACTGTTTTTTCTAAAATCAAATAGAACCGAACCGAAACCAGTCCGTTTGAACTACTTTCGGTTTTTTTTTATAAAAACCAACCAAATAAAAAATAATTATTTTAAAATTTATTAAAAATTTTATGATATTCTTACAATGTTTTCGAGTTAAAAAAAGGTTAAATTTTGGTTTTTTAGAGCTGAAAAACTCTGATCCTAACTTTCCAAACTTCAAAGGTGGTTTGAAAGTCAATAAGACAACAATGAGCTGTCTGCATAAGTAGACAATACAATATCTCCTATTTTAAAAACAATAATTGGATAGATAATTTGTTATTCCTCCATTTAAAAAAATCAAGCATACGAGTCTAGTTTTAGTTTTATGGACCCAAGCGCACTTAACTAGTTTTTCTGGGGCACTTGGACGGGAAGACGAGGCCTGAGTTTTTTTATATTTTTTTATTTTATATAAAAAGATATTTTAAATAAATTTTATAAAATAATATTTAAATAATTAAAGTTTTTTATGATAATAATATTTTTTTTAGATTAATGTGGATGTCCAGATAAGTTTGCACGCACCACGTCTAATTTTACGAGCTTTAAAGTTAATAATCATATAAATTTTTAGTGACTATTATATAAATAACTAAAAACTCGAATATGAGATTATAAAAAAAAACAAATTTTTTAATTTTTAATTTTTATTATTTAGCAATTACCTAGATAATTTTGATGATGATATTATTTTTTTTTTAGATTAACGTGGGTGTCCGGGTCAGCTTGCGCACATCACGACTAATCCCACGGGCCCTGAAGTTAACGACCATGTAAGCCTCCAGTGGCCATCATATGAGCAACCAAGGACTCGAACCTGAGACCACAGAGGGAGCAAACCTCTTAATCCCAAGTTCTTACTACTTGGCCACCACCTAGATGGTTTGATGATGATATTATTATTATTATTATTTTTTAGATTAACGTGGGTGTCCGGGCCAGCTTGCGCGCACCACGACTAATCCCACG